TTTTTGTATGCGCACAATAAAAAATGCATCGCGCAATTAGTAGTGCAGCTTCGCTGGCGTAAAGGGTGTCTCCTCTGTTGTGCTGAACCGACCGCTTTGTTATTGCGGTTTGGAAAGCGTTGTCAGCCTGCTCATCATAATACATGCATCACTTTAACGTTCGGCCTGTTTCTGCGCGGTCGCTTTAGCGATTCGCACGAATGTTTGCACGGTGTGCTGCACGAGAAACGACCGTTTGCAGTACGTTCCCATTCACAGGGCTAATAGCAACCCATGAAGCGATGTCTGGATATTCGAATTCATAATTCCTAATGAGCCCAGCCTGTTAGACAAATCTCGAAATAAGTCCTGAAGGTAACGAGAAATAACGGGAAATATGCGGTGGCTTGTATTTTTTTCACGGAAGTATTACGAAAATGGCTGTTTGAAATGGTAACCAGTGCAGAAGTGAATCTGCGTCAGCTGGCCAATTACAAAGCCCACGAGAATGCCATATCTCAGGCATATCTGTACAAATAAGGTATGGCGGTTATTAAATTTGCAGTTCATATGGGCGGTCATTTTCAGTGAGGCGCTGGCGCCCAATACAATTCAGGAACTGATTTCTCTAAGCGGTAACACACCCCTATGCGTCGGTACGGCCACAACGGGCAAATTGGCCGCATCACAACACCAGGACCACCTGATGCCTATGCAGTTAGACTGTTTCGATCATACTTTGTGCATTCTTTTATGGTAGTAACAATGTACACTGCACGCTTCTACAGTAGAACTAAGCGAATCGCAAAGTACGAAATCGTACAACACAAGCAATAGACATAGATCTACACTTACACAACTGAAACAAGTCTTGCTTATTGCCAGTATGAATGATTTCACAAAAGCACTGCACCTAGTAGTGTTTCAGCGATACACAACATACAACAAGAAACATCACCACATTCACAAAACCCAGGCTGGAACGCACCAGGCGGGCCGGAGCGATTATGCGTTTTTGCACTTCTCGTGCCGTAGGCAAGATCGCAAGGAAATAAGTGTAGCTAACCCTGTGAAATACTGGCCCTCGGAGTTCGGAAGTAAATTGTGCAACTATGTGGTATGTCAGTTGTGAGTTGCTAACCCTGTGACACACTGACCCGCGAAGTTCGGGAAGTTAATTGTGCAGCTATGTAGTATGCCAGTTGTAGACGTCGGTTTCAGTGACCCGGCAAACGGCAAGGTGCTGGTCCGCAAAAAAGCCACGCCAGAAGAGTTAAATCTGAAATCTTTTAGTCGCACATGAGTAGGGAATATACCCTTAAAATTAAAACCTTCAGCTTATCTCGTTCCCGAATTGACAGTTTTCCCACCAAAATTTTCCCGTGTCCCTACGTGATTATGGGACGGTTTTAAGGAGATGAATTTAAAAACTTTTGGTCATACATAAGTAGGGAACGTTATTCTGAAGTTTCAGCTTCCTAGCTTTTTTCGTTCCCGAGTTAATGATTTCCGCGCAAAATTTCCATGTGCCTTTACGAGGGCCCCGAGTGCTTCTAAGCACCTCATTTTGCTCGTACATGAGTGGGCGACATTCCCTTAAAGTTTCAGCTTTATAGCTCTTCCTGTTTCCGGGTTGGAAATTTTCGCGCCAAAATCTCCACGTGCTCGTACGTGGGCTCGGGTGCTTCTAAACACTTGAATTTGCTCGTACATGAATAGGGGACATTCTCTTAAAGTTTCAGCTTTCTAGCTTTTACTGTTCCCGGGCTAGTAATTTTCGAGCCAAAATTTCTACGCGCTCGTACGCGGGCTCCGGGCTGTCCTAAGGAGCTGAGTTTGAAAAGTTTTGGTCGTACATGAGTAGGGAACATTCCTCCAAAGTTTCAACTTTCCAGCTTTTCTCATTCCCGAGTTATGAGTTTTCCCGCCATAATTTTCACGTGCCCGTACGTGTGCCCCGGGCAGTCCTGGGCAGCTGAATTTGAAATCTTTTTGTCATACACAGGTAGGGAACATTACCCCGAGGTTTTATCTTTCTAGCTTTTCTCGTTCCCGAGTTAGCAGTTTTCGCGCCAAAACTTTTACGTGCTCGTACGTGGGGCCCAGACGTGCAGCTTTTCTCGTTCCCGAGTTAGCGGTTTTCGCGCCAAAACTTTCACGTGCTCGTACGCGGGGCCCTCTAGCCTTTCTCGTTCCCGAGTTAGCGATTTTCGCGCCAAAACTTTCACGTGCTCGTACGCGGGGCCCAGACCGCGTGAGAGTTGAAACCGCGGTCCTGGGGTGGTACCTGGCTGGGGAACACACTGGCAAAATTTTAGCCTGAAAGCTTGCGTGG